TACTTGTGATACATTTTGATGTCTTGTGATGCCTTGTGATGTCGTGTGAAGCTTTGTGAGACCGTTTGAAACCTTGTGATATCTTGTGAGTGATATATTGTGACACCTTGCTATACCTTGCGATGCCTTGTGATGCCTCTGACGCCTTATGATGTCGTGTGATACGTGATGAACATTTGATATATTGTGAGATATTGTGTCACCTTGCAAAACCTCGTGCTATTTTGTGATGGCCGGCTTGTAATTCATTAGAGATCATCATTCATTTCAGTCATTTCATTTTGGCTCGGACGAAGCCAGCAAGAAAGGTGAGTTTTCATTCCCGAATACTGTTATTGCATTTTCATATGGGTCTCTTTAGAATATAAATTGTGTTCTACGAAACGATTTGGAATTTGAGCCAGAAAAGTTTCCATTAAATCTACTCTTTTTTCAACACTGCTGTTCGGAATTTTCGTCTTTCCGACGGTGGTAGTTTCAAATCTGATTTCTGTTAGTTTTGAAACGCCGATCGTTTATCAATTTCCTTTGAACTTCCGACTGATTTATTATCAGTTATTATTCAAGCCAAGTACGTGATTTCAAAATCAAAGCTTTCATAGAATCGTGATTTTCACACGTATCTAATAGTTCTAGACTCTACCGCTAGGAAATAGTCTTTATTGTGGGCGCCACGTTTCTCGCAACGCCCTTGTTTTATCACGTAGCATAGGCAATAAACGACGACGTGCAACGTTTTAGTCAGAGATTGTTAGTGAAGTTACACCGCTATTGTGCTACGATCAGAGGATCGAAGTTGCCGCTATTTCGTGTATTTCGTTGTCTCTCTGCTACCCTTTGGTGCGAGTCGTCAACCAAAGTACGTTTTAGTAAGTTTTTATCGCGAATTGTTAGTCTTTTCTTTATCACGAAAAAGTTTCATTTAGTTTATCTAGGTTTTGTTGAAATCGCTTTTCACGAGGTCCATTATTGCTCAGGCTTGTTGTCAGGTTACTTGAATTAGTCCAGTTGTCATATGATTACCAAATTGTGATTCTTTCACGCTATATTTTGCTATTTTGCAAGATCTCCGTTGATATCTTCGTTTGTTACGACAGGAGTTGGTATCGTCTCAGTTTTATTAATTTCAAGTATCAGTTGTCACCTCTATTTGTTTCATGCAATGATCTTGTTAGTTTTCTTATGATTGTTCTATTCTGTTAGATTTGTATTTTACGCCTTATCTACGTAGGACGTATTCTTAACCATCGCTTTTCAGTTCGAACCTGCTTGTACGACTACTTCTACTATTTGTATCTGCTACTACACGCTATTTCGTCAGTCGCTACCTATCGTGAACTAGATCTACGGACTTGATCTACCATTAAATCAGTTTGAATCTACCAAGGCGAGTTCGAATCACTTATGATCTCGCACCGCGCTACCCCTGTAGTTGTTTAAGATTTGGGTAAGAAGCAACCTCTAGAATCTTTACAGTTACAATCTCCTTGTGTAAGATTTGTTGCCTTGGAACACCGAAAACGAAACTTCAAAGGAATCTCAAAGCTGTTGTGGTGTAACTGCATTGAATTAACTTTCAGGGACTCGTGGATGCAATGTGGGACTCTCTGAAGTGGAGAATTCTCCTGTTAGTGGTTGTGACATCTGCTGCAGCAGCGACATCACTAAAACCAGTAAGTTCAGCTCATTTACGTTAGCTTTTGCGAAATATCTGAAACTCTTTTCTCTCGTTTGCTGTGCAGTCTTTCTACGTTCGCCACTAAATATAATGTAAAAATAATTATTTTTTCGAACGTATCTAACGCGTAATCATAAAATATTTCATCGGGCATTGAGGCGTATTTTGTGGGCTAAAACGGTTGATAATTCGGCGGACTAATTGCCCCTTTATAAAGAATACTCAAAGTCCCAGAAACGTCTGGAACATAGCGATAAATTTGAAATAGAAATTTAAAAAAATAGCTGTCGTGGTTCACGTTCTAATGACAACGCAGAATTTAGTCATTTCACGTTGTTGTTTTGAAGAGAACGGCAAAGAAATGCGCAAAGAATTATAACGCAAGTGCACAGCCGTTGGTCTGCTCATTAAATCTTTTGTTTTGCGATGTTCCCGTTGCCGTTACCGTCGTGGCTTTTTAAATCTCGCTAATGTCTTTGGCTTCTGTCATTAATGCCCTCTGAGGTTATTATAATAGCAAAAGAGTTGATGCTATTCTTGGTTGTAAATATGTTTTGGCCTTCATTTTTGGACCTCATTTTTGGCCCAAATTTCAGCCGTCGCCTACCGGCCTGGGCTATAATGAACCTGTCGGGCCAAAAAAAATATCGGTGCCCATGAATATTAACTCTGGTATTGTAAAATAGAACGACGATTCTCTTTAACCCTAAAGAAAACATCTAACTTTGATTTGGACAGTTTTTAGTTCGCCTAAATATGAGGACTGAGCACGGCTGCAGCTAGACTAAGACTCTTACCGACCGAGGCAATATCAGAAAAAAAATCTTCCTTTATGTTGATCGTTTTTAATGGATAACCTCTTGGATGAACTTGACTTGAATAAATACAATTTTTACGGGGGAAGTGCTTTGGTTAACCTGGCACTAGCTATACGGCCCAGGCTAACAAATTGATTCCCTAAGGGACCGTTCATTTTTTATGAGGGAGGGGGGG